CTTACACAAGAGGTGTGAGAGCATGTGTGTGTGTGACATTTGGAGAGATAGTGAGTACCAGGAATCACTTGAGGGCTTTACATAATTGAAGGCGGCTTTTGAGATGTTGCTTGGTGTTTAATGTTTAACTCCAACGTTACATATATGAAGAATTTAAAGACAAACGAGGTCTAATTTACAGGCAGGCTGATAAACCTGCTAATGAAATCCTTCAGTAAATCTGATCTGGAGTTAAATAAATATACTTCTGTCCTCAGAAACAGCCTTCAGCGCTCTCACACGGAGATGAATCTACAAGCCAGAATAAACAAACATGAAACTCCATCTTGTGAAATACATTAGCGACGTGTACGGATGTTAAAATTCCTGTTCCTGTGTGAAATGATAAGCTAATGTTCCATGTGTCACAATGTTAGACAATCTTTCACTGCCTTCGTAAAATATACGCAAGCGCTTTATTGAAATAATGCAAAAATAGGAAACGAGCGTCGATAAATTAAAGCGCGGCTGAATTAAAGCTGTCAGGAAGCAATTAGGAAAACACCATAACTCCTCCAAATGGGGCCAAAGTTGAACAGATAGCAAAATGTGTTAAATGAAAATAACCAATTTTGGGAGCGTATCGCTGCCAAATGTGAAAGGTCACGAGACTCGGCGGGGCCGTCGCTCGTGTCCTCTTCGCTTAGTCAGCAGATGGAACCAGCGCCACAGTCCCACAAAAACCCAGATGAAAAATGGGTTTGAGACGCACAAACAGAGCCGAGATGCAGCGCAGAGGAAAAAAAGGGTGACCTCTTCCAACAGATAAACAAATAACCAAATAAATCCTGGGGACACTGGGGTGAGGGAAGCTACCCCCGAGGGGTCGGAGCAGGAACAGATAAATCTCCCTTAAAGACGCCATGCCTCTGCACAGTTAACCTCTTAATCAACCCCAATCGGCCAAAGGAAACAGCGCTGACTTTCAGAAGGCGGCGCTGTGCCTTTGCGGCGGGTAAACACCCGTCTGCATGTGCAGAGCGTCAAACTAGCAGAGATGAGAAGCTGTTTGCTGGTCAAACACCTTTTTATCCAACGTAAATTTATCCTTTTTTCCTTCACAGTCCTTTTCGTGCACTCGTTTTCCACTAGACTCTGGTTCGGTTCCTCCTTGTCTGTCCGTCACCAGGCCTTTCTGAAGCACTACGCAGGCAATTAACCTCCTGCACGCACAAAACCTCCAGATCGTATCTGTTAACGGGTCATGCAAGGCGCTGGCCGCAGACATAAGAGCTCCTAACAAACATGTCATTCTTAGCTTTGAATTTCTATTTCGGGAGCGCGCTCAGGTTGCATACCTGCTCGCTTGAAGGCTCCTTTCCTCAATGGGTCATATTTAGCAGCGGTTGAAGCGGAGCGTTGCATTGTGGGCACTGGTGTTGTCAGGTCCTCCATAAATTAACAAGCAAACCGGTGGCCCCTGCGCTTCCGAGGCCATCGGCTGCGGTCATGTTTACCACCGCTTGCCCCCTCACTGACACGCCTGTGTGTCAGAGCCTCCTGCACCAGTTGGTCCAGCCATCCATCAGCGAGCATCACATGGAAGTGGAGAACTGCTCCATGCGCTGATACTTCTGGGTCTGACGGGGCAAAGTTTGCTCCGATCAGACAGCTTCAGGTTGGACCAGGTGAAGCGTCGCTGCAGAACTCTGCTGTGTGGACATGGGATGAAACAAACGATGCTGTGAGCGAGCCTTAGAGCCACAATGTGAACATAGTCAGTTTAATCCTGAAACAGCATTCCCTCATGTGCATGCACTCTAAAGCTGGGTCCAGGAGGCGATTCTCTTCTGCTTCATGTGCCGGATGAGGACGAACTCACACCTGATTCTGTAAAGTTTAGCTGAAGTTAGAACGCTGACGACTCCTCTTGTGTTCAGTCACCAAATCCACGTGTTTGTTTCCTGTGACGTGTAGGAACAGCAGAAGACTACCACAACGTCTACATGAACTCAAACTGCTTTTTAAACCTCATATGTTACATTAAAATCTTAAACAGAACTCTAACTAGCTGGACAAGGAGCTGTTACAGGAACCAGTGGGTTTCGTGCTATTTCCTTATTGTTCAGTCATATTAATCATTTATCCAGTGGTTTCATTAGATTAACCCCAAAACTTTTTAGTTTAGTTTGTTTTTAACAAAGGTGATTGTAATAAATAGATTTTTAATTTGTCTTTACGATCATGTTTTAAAACCCTTGAAAATAATCAGACATCGTGGACCAGAATGGTTGAGGTTTGATTTTACTGTCTGCTGACGTCCAGATGTTTTCTGTCAGATGTTCTGATTTTTCTATTTTACAGTCTCACAGCAGGATTTTATAGAACAACACATTTCTGATCTTAAGGTAGCGATTAAAACACTTTTTATTGTTTTATTTTTTTGTTGCAGTCAGAAAAGTTGTCATCAGGCTAAACGTGGGCTGATGTTTTCATCAGCAGCACAAGCAGCAGGTTTCGTTTCCAGTCCTTATTTATTTGCTGTATTGTGTTGTTGGACTTTATGGGTCAGCGGTTCTCCTCACCAGCACCTGCATGGCTTCTAATTAGTCCCAAATTACTGCTAATGAAATTTATGACAGCCAGTTTTTTACCGAGGCACATGTTTACACGTGATCGTGGCTGTAAATCATCATAAATCAGCGTTATTCTGAGGCAGGCAGTCTGAGAACATCTGGTCCAGCTCACTGCTGCATTAAACCACATTCACCACCAGGAAGAACCTGGAAACGGAGCAGTTATCAGGGTCACATCTGAAGAGAGCTGGATCAGGCTCAAGATTCACAGGAGGATTCAGATTTTTATCTCAGTTTAAAAAAAAAAAAAACCTTCTAGGAATAAATGGAGAGTATTGATTAAAAAATAAAAAACAAAAAAAAGCTCAGGTTGAACATGTTGAGATGAAAATAAAATGTCAGACCTGCTGCTTAAAGATGTCCTTCCTCTTTTGCATCAGGTTTTTTTCTTTCTTTTTAGGACTGACAAACAGACTTAAAGAAGCTGAGCTGCTCTTTATGTCTCCACTGAGGGATTAATGGCTGGACATCACTTACATTACCAAACCTCTGCTTGATCCTCATTTAATTAGCCTCTTTTCTGGTGAAATCCTGGTCAAACTGATCATAAGCCTCGCTTGTATTGAATTACACTCTAATTATTAGGCCTCCAAACCCTGAGGTGCCCTTGGTCACTGGCCCTATAGCTCATGGAATCTCCTAATAGCGAGGCGCGGGGCTAATTGGGAGACAGGTAAGGTTACATGTGACAGCAATTAAGGCGAGCACAGGGCCAACTTTATGGCCTCCGGCGCTGCACAGCTCCAAGTCAGGGTTTGTCTTTTCGTTTTTTCCTTTCCTTTTTTTTGGAGAATTACAGTCTTGTTTTTATTGTCCACATAATGCAAAGAGCCACAGATCCGTGTTGTTTTATTTTTATTGATAATGACTAAATGTACCTTTAATTTTCTGCCTCTGCGGTTCCTCTAATGATCCTCATATGATCGTGACTGAGCGGACCCCCCCCGGCAGCGGTGTTGCTGGAATTACCTTCACATGACAAATCAAGACCATATCTGGGAAAATAATCAGCTCTCGGCGTGAAAACCCCCATTAGAGAACAACACTGTCACTGCTGATTACCGCGGCGGCCTTTTGTGCGCAGGCAGCGTCACACAACAAACAGAGTTTGTGTGCGGAGCGCTCCTTCTGCGGGACGTTTGGCACCTTCTGCTGCTGCTGAGCTGCTCCACCGCAGATTTAATGCGTTTCTGCAGGATGTTGGTTTGCTTTGCGCAGCTTTTAATTGCGGAAACTGGAGGATTCTGGTGATAATCAGTCGATGAGAAAACCGCCGCAGGATCTGGTGCGCGCTGGACAGCTGACCTGAGATTGATTAGAGCTGCATGGGAGATAAACGGCCGGTAAAGCGTGACCTCTGGCTGGACTCCAGAGGGCACGACAACATCAAATCATATTTACAGAGCAAACATGATTTTTTATCTCCTGCCATTAGAATAAAAATAAATAAATACAGGTCTGTCATTTCTGAAATATCCTCTCCAGACGTGGTTCAGGAG